CGTTGCCACCGTCATCATCACCATCCAACTCAGCATCGTCATCATCGTCGTCGTCGATATGGCCATCATCGCCATATTCTTCAAAGACACCATCACCGTCACCATCATCATCACCATCAGCACCACCACCAACAGCACCATCATCATGATCAACAGCAACAGTACCACCACCATCACCATCCGAATCATCATCAACATCATCGCCAACATCGCCATCATCCGAATCATCACCACCATCGGCATCATCATCGAAGCATACCCATCCCGAGCACATGCATGGTTTTCTTTATCATATTGTCATTTCTGTTTCGATGTGAGCCACCTGCGGTTGGCGCAACTCTACCCGCCACTGTTCAGGAGAAAGAACAACTGATCAATACTGAACTCTGCTGCCAGAGCTTCGGGGATCTTCTGACCCGGGTCAATCCAGACCCGGGTCAGCAGGAAACCAAAAACTGCACTGCAGGAAAAAAACTGCAATGCTGATCGTCGCAAACCCAGGTCAGCCAATATGCGCGGCCGCCTCGCGGCCACGAGCGGCTCGCTAACCTGGGTCAGCCAGAGGCGGTCTTCGCAGGATCCTGCAGGATCTGGTGCCCTGGCTGACCCCCGTTTGCATTGACCCCCGTCTCAAGGCTCCCGAGGCTAAGAACGCAGATCGCAGCCGGCCCGGCAACCGAATTACCTGCTCGGAACAAGAATTCTCTCTCGCCAGGTGGATAGCAGGCGACGAGCGCCGCCCGCGCCGCTGAATCGCCCTCGCCCCGCCGGGCCCCGTCGAAGCAGAGGCGAAAATTGATCTGGGCACATGCCTCTAAAACTCTGCGAGCGTTGCCGTCGCGAGTGCATGCCCAATCGGTGCCGCGATCGAGGGCCTGGTTCGCTGCATCGTCTGCCAACCCATTGATGTCGGGCGAATCTCGACGTATACACTTACCTGTGTCCTCGGCATCGATGAACTGTCGTGCATCCGCGACAAGAGTCTGGATACTCTTACAAACGACGGTCGCATCCGATCATCCCGCAAATATGATGGCCCCCCAAAACTTCAACAAGTTGTTCGTTATCGGTCTGAACCCACAGCTTTTTGCCAAAACGTGTCCAGCGCTGTTCCCGCGGGCTGGGTTTCAGAAAGTTCGCCGGGTCAATGGGGAGCTTCGCCGTGCATGGAGGTGAACGTGGCGCAGCGCCCGGTTCGGCCACAGGGAGCCCCCATTGTTCCCTGAGCGCCCCGAAAAACCGTAGAATTTACCCGTGCACTCCTGCTGGGAACCGCAACGATTTCTGACCATCCGCCAATCTTGTCCACCGAGCTCGCCCATGACTTGGCTGGTTGACCAAGCGTCGTCGTTTCGCCTGGGTTGCCAGCGCCTGGACGCCCTGCCGCCACAGCAGCAACTGGTCCTCCCGCGCAGTCTTCACAGGGCACTCGTTGGACTCCAGTCGCCACTCTGTCATAGCCCATGCCTCTCGATACGCAAGCCGCACGGCCCTTTCATAGATGAAGCCAAGGCCCGCGCGCGCGAACCATTGGGGGGGCACGCTGGCCGCGCGCACGTTGAACTCCGTGGCCGATGATCCAGGACGCCAGCACGCGCGGAACAGGCGGCGCCACATCTGGAGCTCCGGTAAGGGGACAAAAAAAGTGAACCCCTTCGTCTTCGGCCCTGCATTCGCCCCCCCCCCCGGCCTCTCGGAGGCCCTGGGGGTTCCACTTTTTCTGTCCTCTAACGCCTGTGCTGCCAAATTCTTGAGGCCAACTTTGAAATTGGGGGGAGGGGGGGCGTGGTGTCAAGGGTTCCACTTTTTTGTCCATCTACGGTCCCACGTCCTCAACTTCCGCAGCAGTCCTGGTGACAAACGGCACGTCCCTGCGCAGTGTAGGTGCAGTCGCCGCCGGGCCGCGCACCCAAGGTCGCAGGCGCTCGGTGACAGGCGCACGCGGGCTCTGCAAGGCTGCCTGGTGACGGGCACCACACTTCTCTGCCCGCCCAAGGCTGTACTCTACGCTGTCGTTCGTGCTGCCGTCTGACCCCCAGCGACAGCAGGACTTGTCCAGTGCAGTTGTGGGGGGAGGAAGAAAACTGAGAGGAATGAAGCGCGACGACCCTCTGCAGAGCCGAAGGCAAAAACCTGCAACGGGTCTGGACTCGAGACTCGTGCCGAGGGGGAAATAGGAAGAGGGGGAAGAGGACGAGAAGGAGGACGAGGAGGGAGAGCGGGCAGCGTGGTTGCCAAAAACGGCAATCCCGCAAATCGGCTGCTGGCAACTCTGGCCCATGCCAGAAGTTAAACAACAACGGCAACAGAAGGGTAGAGGCAGAGGGGACGGCGATGAGAGGAGGACGACGCAAACGAGGAGGGAGGAGGAGGAGGGGGAGGAGGAGGATGAGGAGGAGGAGGAGGAGGAGGAGGAGGAGGAGGAGAGGAGGATAACTGGACTGGAACGCTTACGACCCTGGCGAGCACCTCCTGAATGCAACTCGTTGCAACCGAGCCATGCATATGTATGAGGATATGCGGATAGCATGGGGCTATCGCCTGCAACCTTGCCGGGGGATATCGCCGGCCCTACGCAGGGCCGTCCTATGGGAAAAGGGGCCCATGACGACCCACAAGAGCACCATCCTCCAGCGGCAGGCTCGCGCTGGGGAAAATCAGAAGGCTCTCCCAAATCAATCCTAGGCCACAGCCCAACAAAGACACGACAAGGGAGCGAGGGGGAACGACGGGCGGGAAGGAACAGGATACCACCGACACCGCACACGCACACGCACACCCGCGCACGCAAGCCAGTGCCACGACCCTGGGAGAGAAGGAGACAGGACTGGAAGGAGGCGGAGGACGGACGCGTTTCCCGGGCCCAACGTACACGTCGTTCATTTCTAATCGTGCTCATTTCTAATGGTGCTCGTTTCTAACTGTTCCTGGCCCCCTAGTGGCCAGGAAGAGGCCCAGGATAGAACAATTAGAAATGAATGGATCTTGGCTCCCAGAAATCACAGAACCTTTGATGAGGAATTAGAGATGAACAATGTGTACTTGTAACAGAGAAAGGCTGTGAGGTACGGCTGGGAGCTTTTGCTTGGCGTGTCGCGGCGGCGGCAACGGAGACCCGCTACATGCCCTGCGAGCGGATGGCGTGTCGCTGCCCCCAAGACGGCCTAAGAGTGCGCTCAGAGGGCCGCCAAGAGCACCCCAAGAGGCAAACATCGTGTCCCACTCCCTCGTCCCAAGAGGGAGTTCGCCAGGGTGGGGGTGGGGGACGTAAAGCCTCTCGACACCCTCGTCCCAAGACGGCCCATGAGGCCCTCAAGAGGGACCCAAGACGGCCCTTGAGAGCCCCAAGACGGCCCCAGGGGCCCCTAAGACAGCCCAGGAGGGCCCCACGAGAGGCCCAAGAGGGCCAAGAGGGGCAATACCAACTGACATCTCGAGTCTTTCCCGCCGTGATGGCCCCAAGCGCCTCCCAGTGACCCCAGGGGCGCCCCCAAGAGGCCCCAAGAGGCCCCCAAGAGGCTCCCAAGAGGCACACAAGACGCACCCACGAGGCCCCCGAGAGGCCCCCCAAAGCCAACCAGATGCCCCCTAAGAGCCCTCCAGGAGGCCCCCTGAGAGGCTTTCCAGGAGGCCCTCATATGCACCTCCGAGGCCCCTGCCCCACAGGCCAAGAACGGTGGCACGACTCTTGACGAATTCACTGTTATGGGGGCCGGCGGGACGACGTAAGCATTTTGAATAATCCGAATGGTGCCAGTCAGGAGGTGGAGGAGGAGGAGGAGGAGGAGGAGGAAAAGAAGGAAGAGGAGGACCTCCTCCTGCTCCTGCTCTTCTCCTCCTCATCTTCGCTGGCCTTCTTCGTAGCATCGTCATCCCAACGATACCCACACTAAGAGAAGAACCTTCTCCTGTACACGCCACCTCCACGTTCCCCTGCCCGTCGTCGTCGTCGTCGTCGTCGTCGTCGTCGTCAACGTCGTCCTCCTCCTCCTCCTCCTCCTACTCCTCCTCCTCCTCCTCCTCCTCCTCCTCCTCCTCCTCCTCCTCCTCCTCCTTCTCTACATCCCTCCTCCTCCTCCTCCTCCTCCTCCTCCTCCTGATCTTCGTCCTCCCCCTCGTCCATATCCCCTCTGCTGCTCCTACATCCTCCTCCTCCTCCTCCTCCTCCTCCTCCTCCTCCTCGGCCGCCGCCTCCTCCTCCTCCGCCGCCTGTTACTCCTACTCCTACTCCTCCTACTCCTCCTTGTCCTCCTCCTCCTCCTTTACATCCCTCCTTCCCCTCAACCAGATCCCTCCTCCTCCTGCTCCTTCTCCTCCTCGGTCGCCGCCTCCTCCTCCGCCGCCAGTTCCTCCTCCTCCTCCTCCTCCTCCTCCTCCGCCGCCTCCTCCTCCTCCTCCTCTTCATCCCTCTGCCTCCTCCTCCTCCTCTTCCTCCTCTTCCTCCTCTTCCGCCTCCTCCCCCTGCTCCTGCTCCTCCTCCTCCTCCTTCTGCTCCTCCTCCTCCTCCTCCTTCTCCTCCTCCTCCTCCCTAGAGCTGGCGACGGTGATGACGGCGGCGCCGACGACGAGGGGGGCGAGGGCGGCGGGTGCGCGCCGCAGAGCGCGGGCTCTGCAGGATGCCGCGTGAGTGGACGAGCGAGTGTCAGATGGCCTGGCGGGCGCCGCCAAGGAGCGCGCCGCGGGGGCGAGCGGCGGGGCGGAGGCGCTGCGGCGATGGGCCCGTGATAACGGCGACGACGACGACGACGACGACGACGACGAGTATGACGTGGATGACGAGGACGAGGACGAGGACGACGACGATGACGAGGACATGGACGAGTACGACGATGACGACGACGACGACGACGAAGACGAGAACGACGACGACGACGGTGGCCTCAGCGGGAGCGCTGAGAAGGTGAGGAAGGGGCAGGGGGGGGGGGGGGGCAAAGAACGAGGAATAGAGAGCACGAGGACGAGCAGGAAGGCAGGCTTACGAAGAAGGAAGGAGGAGGAAAAGGAGGAGGAGGAGGAGGAGGAGGAGGAGGAGGAGGACTCGTGGCCCAGGAGGCCCGTCCAAGGGCCGACGATGGAGATCACGAGGGGTTCGACGGGCGACGCTGTAGCAGGTGGCCTTCGGCCTCGCTAATTCGACCTGCATTCAAGCGGAGTGGAGGCCACGCGGTCGGCTGCCGAATCACGTGGCTCACGCCCTCTGGAAATTCCGCCGGCCCCCCTTGTGGGGCCACCAGGCTGCGCGGATGAGGTTTCCTGCGCCCTGCGCCAGTTCCAGTTTCCAGTCTCCAGTGCTGTGACTCAACTGTCTGCTTCCAACTCTAAACTGTTGCTGTCCGCGCGAGGGGGGGGACCAAGACCCGGCATGTTTTATCGGAATTCCCTTCGGGGGGAGATGGGCGGGGAGCTGCCGTGCGAACTCTGCAATCTGGGCCGCCCGTGGAGCCGGCCGATGGGGACGCGCGACGTGCGAGGAGCGTGCCGACAATGGGCGGGGGAGCGCAAACAGCAGCCCAGAGACGAGATATGGGCTGGGGGGTGTCATGAAGGGGCCCTGGGACACACAAACAAATACACACAAATAAGAAGATTCCCCATATTTTCCCATATTTTCTGGGTTTTTTATCTTCCCCCACACTTCCCATATTTTCCCCTATCTTCTGGGGAATCGCCGATGAATTGTGTCTGTGTGTTTTTCTCCTCCTGATGTTAGCCTCAAGCCAGGAACAAACACCCGCAAAACTCAACGCAATGTCTCCCACATTTCCCCCAGATCAAGGTCTGAATATTGGGTGGCCCGCGCAACGTGCCCCCCCCCCCGATTCGGAGATGCACGTGAGGCCCTCAACACTGCGTGAGCCTTGCCATTGGGGTCCCGGGTGCCGGCGTGCTGGTCCAAGACTTCGATTACGCTTCGCGGAGGGATGCGCCGTCTCACAGGGTCATAGGCTCGAGGACGCGCGCTTTTCTGCTGAGGAGTGGCGGCGATGCGCAACTATCTGTCCTCCTCAGGTGCAGGAAGCGCAGCGGGAAGAATGGAGAGAGACAAGGGGAGGAGAGGAGGGACGTTGGGGCAAAGAGCGGGCGAGCGAGAGAACGAGAGAGCGAGAAATAGAGAAAGAGAGAGAGAGAGAGAGCGAGTTCCTCAGCGGAATGGGAAGCCACCGCCCTCGTCCTTCTCTCTCTGGTGTTCTTCGTCGTGCACCTCGTCGATGACCACCGCCATGGCCAGGACCATGGCAGCGTCAACCTGGGGGCCCACGATGCAGTGGTACCTGTTCTCGCTGTCACTCTGGTAGTAGCCACGGCCTACAGCTGCAACAACGGCGCCGGAGGGGTTCTTGAACGTGTACTTTCGTTCGCTAAACGTACCCTCGGCCCTCAGCGCAGCGCTTGCCTGGCCCTCTAAGAAAAACTCGAAGAACTCGCTGAAGCCAAACATGCCCTTATTGATCTTGCCGAATCTCGATCCGTCTGGCCTGTAGACGTCGTAAGTCGGTGTCATTGCGATCATCTCGCGGTCCAGAGTCGCCAACTTCGTGCCTGCGGCAGTCGAGACCTCCAGCTTGTCCCAGACGGGCATGCCACGGACGGGGAGGCGGTCACCACCGCTGATCTTGAGGACCAGCTCGCCGGCGGGACTCTTCACCTCAAAGTCCTCCCCGGTCATGCTGAGAGCCTTCTCCTCCAGCTCATAGGCGGTGGTCGTGCCGTGGACCAGGGCCGCGTCCAGCGGGGGAACGTGCGAGGGAACGGGTGGCGAGGATGCAACTGGCAGTGGGAGGCCCTGCGCGTCCTCGAGCATATCCTTGAGCCCCTCGCCGCCCACAGCGCTTGGGTTCTCCTCGTCGTGGGCCTCGTCGATGACCACGGCCATCGCGAGTGCGAGGCTGGCGTCCACCTGTGGCCCGACCACCACAGTGTACGTGTCGACGTTGCCGCCGCTGAAGCCTGGGAGCCGAGCCACGGTGGCCACCACGTCACCGCTGTGGCTCTTCAGCGTGTAGCTCTTCTCACTGAAGGACCCCTCCGCGCGCAGCAGCGGCCCTGGCTGCCCGTCGCCTTCCTGCCAGAGCTCAAAAGTTGGAGTGAGCGCCACCATGGCTTTGGCGATTCTGCCGAACTTCGAGCCGTCCGGCCGCTGGAGGTCGTACGAGGTAGTCAGGGCGAAAGCCTGCCTGTCCAGGAACGCCACGTTTGCCCCCGAAGGCGTGGAGATCGTCAGCTTGTCCCACACGGGCATCCCTGGGATTGGGACTCGGTTTCCCCCGCCAATCTTCAGGATGACCTCTCCAGTGTCGGGGTCCTTGACGTCGAAGTCCTCGCCGCCCACCGATATCGCCTTCTCTTCCAGCGTGTAGGCGCGCATCTCGCCCCGGACCAGTGCTGCGTCCAGGGGCACGCCCGGGATCGGTGGCGTTGCGGCCACTGGCTTTGGCAGGCCTACCTGGTCTTCGAGCAGCTCTAGCGGAAGAAGGAACAACGGCATAAACATAAGCCTTTGGCGCTCCGCGCAGGTTTCTTGGATCTGCGCTGGGCCCCCCTCCCTGCTGCCAGGGGCGGCGCCGGAGGCGCCGCAGGGAGCGGGGCCCCCCGCGCGGATCCAAGAAACCCGCGCGGAGCGCCAAAGGCTTATCTTTGTGCCGTTTTTTCTTCTTCGATCTAGCCAGCTGGACCGCAGCGCTGTGCGCCAGGACCTGCCGGCGGCCGACGCAGATGCTGTCACTGTCGACCCGCCCAGCGGCGCCCGACCCTGACCGCCACTGGGCGCCCTCGTGGCGGGGCGTGCCAGCAGCCACGCGGGCGCCCCGCGGCAGGCGGCCAGTGCGCCTGCGGCCGAGAGCGCCAGTGCGAGGCTCCGCCGCCGCGAGAGATCACTTCTCGGGTGAACGCTCGCACGGCCCGGCGCGGGCCTGGCAACCATCGAGCGGCACGCCCCGCGATGCGCCGAAAAAACAAAAAATCCGATTAAGCCAACAAAAATGCTATACGGCCTCACTCATGTCCACGCGCCGCCGCGGGGGAGAGGGTCGCATGCCGGCTAGGGTCCGCTCGAGACCAGCCGCCAGGTTCCTGCAGCACCGTCGGGGGCAGCTCTCTGAGCCGCGCCCAGCCATGGCGACGATGGCCCTCCCTGGGGGTCGAGGGGGGGCCCTCTCCTCCGACCTGGCGATGCATTTTGTTCGTGACATGGGCTCCCGGGGACCTCCCACTGTTCCCCCCAAACCGGCCTTTCGTCCTGAGTCGTTTTGTTGCCACCGTCCTGCAACACTCCGCGAAACTTAGCGCAACTTCTGCCGACCCCTCCCCTCGCTCAGGAAGGGACAAAACACACAGACACAGAACGTCGTCGACCCCCAGGAAGATGTAAGAAAATATCGGAAGTGGGGGGGGAGACGAAAACCGAGAAATCATGGAAAAAGGCAGGGGATCCTGAGATTTTGTGTATTTATTAGTGTGTCCCTGGGCCCCCTCACTCGCCCCCAATTTCAATGTTCGGTCGACGAACCGTTTGAAGTCGTGCGTTTCGGCATCAGTATTGGCATTCGGGGGTCTGGGGGTGCCGACGCGGCGCGGGAAAAACTTGCGCTACGTGCCGCGGAGGGATGCGGGGCCAGAAAGCGTCCCGCTGAGGATCCCCTGGGCGTAACAGAAAATGGCGACGGCCGGTTTTGTCGACGTTTCCGTCAACGAGAGCGTACAACAGAAACAGGCCGTCGCGATCGTTTGCCCGCGCCAGGATCTGAGGCACGGCGCGAGGATCACTGAGAAGTCGCCCTCGTCTCAGCAGCGCCCCCACATCTCCGGTACTGGCCTTACCAGAAAAAAGCAGACGGCAGACGATCTGCCGACCTTGACAGCGTCTTGCCTTCTGGCGGACCTGTTTGGTTGTGGCTTGGGGGCCCCTGGCCCTTACCCAAACCTTCAAACTCGTGACTTGACGTGGAACCGAACCCCCATCCCTGGGACCGTCTTGGTCGCCGCGGATTGACGCGTAATGGCCCCTGAGAACGGCCCCCAGAGGCCAAAAAACAACGCGCGCAATAAGCGCGCGCAGCTACTTGTCGCAACGCCAAAGGTCTGCCCAGGATGGCCAAACCACCACCGCTCCAGAGGAAGAGAGAAACCAGAAACGGCATGAGCATAAACTTTCGAAGGTCCGTGCGGACTTCCTGGACCGGCGCTGGCCCCCTGGAGGCGCCAGCAGCACCGTTCAAAGAAATCCGCGCGGACCTCCGACAGCTTATGCTTATGAAATGCTTGGTCTCCATCCGAGAGAAGGCAGGCGTCCTTCTCATCGCATGCTGCGGCGGGGCCCCTCCGCGCCTGAGCCATCGCCACCGCGGCCTGCCAGGGCCCGTCAAAAATAGTCGACTCTTCGTCCTCACGCCCTTTCTCTTCGTCCGTCTCCTCGCCGCCGTCTGCGTCCGCGTCGGCGTTCTCCTCTCCTCTTCATCCCCATCGCCCGCATCTTCTGTTTCACGACCTTCAGGGCCATCATCGTAAACCCCTGCACCTTCATCAACGGCAACAGCACCAGCATCATCGTCATTGCCACCAACGTCTTCGTCGTCGTCCACCTCCTCCTCCTCCTCCTGCTCCTCCTCCTCCTCAGCAGCAGCAGCACCACCATATTTCTCGTCGTCCTCATCGTCTTTTTTTTTTTTTTCTCTCTCTCTCTCTCTCTCTCTCCTCCGCCTCTTTGTCCTCCTCCTCCTCCTCCTCCTCGTCCTCCTCCTCCTCCTCCTCCTGCCGCTCCGCCTGTCGCTCGTCCTCCTGGCCCTGCAGGATCCCTCCTCTCCGTCTCCCGCGGCGGCCCGCGATGTTGTACCGACGGTGTCCCGCTCACGTGACGAGAGAGTGCGCTTCACACGATTCTGGGCGCCTGCTGGCCATCGCTCGGACGTCCATTCCCTGTGCTTTTTTCGGTTTCGTGCGTGGTTTTTTCGCCAAATGATCAAGGATGCTCCTCGATGATCCTCGCCGAAGGAAAAATGCACACGTCCGAGCGATGCCAAGCCTGGAGAGGCTTGCCCAACTTTCATCACCCGCGTGCCTCCACGTCGCTGTGCGCCAGAAGCTGCGCACACGTCGCGTGAGTGGTCGGCCGCGCCATGGACTGCTCGGCACACGCGTCGTGCCGAACAACTGGGGGAGCATGCGCTCACCTCCCAGTGGCATGCCGCGTGCTCTGCTCACCAGAATGCGAGAACAGGGCCCAGAATGCCAGAACAGGGCACCGCACAACACATACACGTACGCGCACACATAAAAGCACACTTATTTCCCTCTGGCGCACACCTTTTTACCTCCGGCGCCGCGCCGGGCTGCAGACGCACTGGCTGGCAAAAGAAGCAGGCGGGACGCACACAGCATAAAGGATCCACCTTGTGAAGAAACGTGCACAAGCCTCAAAGCCCCAGAAGAAGTCGGTCGTAACCGACCGTCGGATAGCGCTCCGTGCGCGCGCACATGCACATGCACACATACAAATACACATACACATACACATACACATACACATACACACAACACACACACACGCACGCACGCACGCACGCACGCACGCACGCACGCACGCACGCACGCACGCACGCACGCACGCACGCACGCACGCACGCACGCACGCACGCACGCACGCACGCACGCACACACACACACACACACACACACACACACACACACACACACACACACACACACACGCACGCACGCACGCACGCACGCACGCACGCACGCACGCACGCACGCACACACACACACACACATACACACACACGCGCACATTCACACACGCGCACACACACGCGCACACGCGCACAGACACAGACACAGACATAGACACAGACACAGACACCGACACAGAGACAGACGCAGACACTGACGCAGACACAGACACAGACGCACACACGCACACACACACACACACACGCACACACTTGTTGCGCATTCGCGGCCTCGCGCGCGTCGTGGAGGCGGAGAAGGTTACCGAACGGGCGGGCGGGCGCGCGCACGGGGGGTCGCTCAGAGCACGTGGGACCCGCACTGAGTCGACCAGCCGTCGGCACATCCGGGCATGGGCAGTGGGGGTGCAGAGGGTACAGGGCAGCTTTCAATACATATGATGTTTGAAACTATAAGATTTTTCATACATGATCAATGTATGAATAAATTCATGCATGAACTCCTCGTTGTTTTTAGTACTGAATCCTTACATTTTTGATACATGATCCGCACGCGGAGCATGTATAAAAAACGGCACTGTAGAGCAAGAACAGCCCAGGAACACACACACACACACACGCACACACGCAAACACACTCGTTCCTCAGACGCGCCAGAGGAGTCTAGTTGGCGAAGTGCCCGGCAGTGGGGACGCCAGAAACTAGAATTCCGCTTCCTTGTGAAGCGCGTGGCAAGACTGAGCTCCCAGGAGCGCGCAGTGGCGAGCCGAAGCAGGCACTGCAGGGCGGGAGGGAAGGGCGCAGAGAGCGGAGGCGAGCCCCAACAAAACCACCACCAGCAGGCCAAGCCGAAGGGGGCGGAGACGATGGGCGGCCACAGGGCCAGACGGAGCGCGCGCGGCAGAAAAAGAGAGAGAGCGAGAGAGAGAGCGACAGGGCCAGGTACCCGAGCGGGGCCTCCCGCCGGGAGGCAGGGAACAGAGCCGCCCGGCGGGAGGCCAGCCGCGCTTCGAACCCTGCTGGGATGGCCCGAGCCGCTTCACGGCTACCGTGCCCTTCGCCATGGTGGCGTTCGTTCCCCTCTCCCGGGCCTCCGCTCATTCCACCGGCTGCTGGCCTTCGTATCCTATCCTGGGGGTCAAGCGCCAGGCCTCACCGCTTGCCGCTGCAGGTCGCTCGTGGAGCCGTAGCGGCTGCTGCGCACCGTCGCCTGGCGCGCGCAAGACAGCAGAGAAGCGGCGCCCAGCCGCGGATACACACGCCGCGAGCAGGAGGCTGTAAAGGAAGCTGCCATGCCAACCAGAAGCAGACACACACGCACACCCACGCACACATACACACACGCACACACACAACACACACACACACACGCACACACACACGCACACACGCAACACACACACACAACACACAACACACACGCGCACACACACGCACACACACAACACACAAACATACACACACACGCGCACACGCACACACGCACAGCACACGCTCACAAAAACGTTCCGCGCTCGCGGAACGCTAGGACGCTCAGGCGGCCGGTCATGACAGCGATATTCATTGCTAGCTGCATCAAAAACTAAAAACTCAATGCTCCGAACGCGGCGAAACGGAACAGGCCAAGCTCAACGGGTCGTAAGGGGCAAAGCACGAGCGGAACCCAACGTCTTCTTTGGCTTGGCGACTAAATTATCGACGAGGTTTGTTTGCGAAGCTCTAAGCTCCTGGTCCAGAGACTCCAAGCCCCCCTCCCTGCGAAGAACCTCGCTCTCAAAGGTCAGGTTCTCGAGAGCTGTGTAGGAGTTCAAGTTCTCGACGCCTGCAGATGGCCCACTGAAGGGCGGTCGTTGGCCATGCCTCCCGTCCAAAAGAGTAAGTACTCTGCAGGACTCGGCCTGATGCTCGGTTTAGTTCATGGGGGGCAGCCTGCGACCCACGTGCGAATGCATTACAGCTGCATTGAGGATGCGGATGACAGCCACTCTATATAGTCACGGAGTCCCTGCTTGCCGCTGCTGGCGTAACACAAAATCCAAAGATGTTGCGTAGACGGGGTCACCCCGGGGACCTTTATTTCAATGGTGCATCCGCTATCGATGTAGGAGTGCAACCATCGACATAGCAAACGCCCATAACTCAATCCCGCAAACATTTCAACATTGAAATCGGGGGACGCAGAGGTTCTCAACGTATGGGTGCGGGTTCCTCCGTTTGGTGGGTGATTTTTACGCCAATGGCAGTGGCTCCATTGAATCACTTTTTGAACAGATGGTTCCACCGTGCACCCCTTGGCCACCAC